AAAAAAAAAAAAAACAGGTAAATCGTCAGCGCCATAACTCGATCCACTAGAAATCAATTCCTCACCTGAACGACTTTTCCAACTTTGTTCCTAGAGAAATTTCAATCAAGCCCGGGATGTAATGGGGGAAGAGAAGAAGAACGAAACCAATTGTTTTTAGGTTTCTGCGTTTCGATAATTTAGTAATTATACGAAACATATATATATATATATAAATGGGGCGCGTTGCGATCACGATAAATCTAATTATTTTAACTAATACTCAAATTTAATTCATCTTTAATTCAATTTTACGATGATTAAAATTTAAATATATAATATCAATCAACCATTCTAACACATTGCATTAACTTTAAGTTATTATTCATCAATTAATATAATTTTAGTTTTGAATAATCATCACTTAACACCATCTATCTCATACTTTTATATCAAATTTACTTTAATTGTTTTATTTTAAATATTATTTTAGTATAAACTCAAAATTTCATTATTTTAACTAAATACTTAATCTAACTATCTTTAATTTAATTTTATCATGCATGGTATGGCTTCACCTCCTATGCGATTGGGACTTGGGAGCATGTCTAGATCATGGCTTTATCGGGGGTGTCTTATTCCCGACGAGTTCTAGCATCATACTCTTTCTAGACTTTTGGCCTACTTTTTTGTACTGAAAAAAATATATATATAAATAATATCAATAAATCATTCTTACATATTACATTAACCTTAAATCACTATTCACCAACTAACATAATTTTGAATAATCATCACTTTACACCATCTATCTTCTACTTTTATATCAAATTTACTTTAACTATTTAATTTTAAATATTATTTTAATATATACTCAAAATCTCATTATCAACTAACCATACCATATTTTTCAAAATTAACAAAAAAATTCACTGAAAAAAAAAAAAACTTGTATCCAAACATCCCCTAAAGCTCAAACTAGTGTTGTTAATGAACCGAACGTTTGCATATAAAAAACTCGTTCGAGTCTGTGCGTGTTCGATTGTAACAAAAGTATTGGTTCAATTGTTATTTAAGACGAGTTTGAGTAGAAAATTATGTTTGTTTGACAGACGAACGAACACGAACTAATTCACGAACGTTCGATGATTTTCGCGAATATTATTATTATTATTATTATTATTATTATTATTATTATTATTATTATTATTATTATTATTATTATTATTTTGATACAAGAAGAGGCCGAAGCCTAGACGAGCCTAAGATGCCACTCGACGTGGATGAGCCACGCCGACAATATCATGTTGCAGCCAATGACCAAGTTCCCACGGGGGTTCCCAAAGACGGTGATATCCCACCGACGCTGTAGCCGCCAATGAGGCTAGCTTATCTGCCGCAAAATTACCTTCCCGATAGATATGAGACAACTGGACCACCCATCCCCGTCTAAGCAGCTCGCGAATGGCGTGAATAATGTTTTCATGAAGGCCCAACTGATCCTCATTTCCCGTCACCATTGTTACTATACTGCTATTATCTACCTCCACTAGCACTTTCCTCGCTCCCAATTCCCATGCCAGTCGAAGCCCATGGAAGAGGCCCCATAACTCCGCCCCAGTAATGGTACATAATCCCACATTCAAAAGGAATCCCTCAAGCCATCGTCCTTGCGAGTCCCGCACAAGCCCGCCGGCACTACCCCGCCCGGAAGTAGTACACAGAGCACCATCAGAATTAATTTTAATCCACTCATCTGGTGGTGGAGACCAGCAGATCATACGATCCTCATAACGGCGACCCAACACCCCCAAAGATCTCTCGCATTTCGTACAGTCCACGTACATGGCCACCGTACGTCGAATATCCTATAGTTGCTCCTTAAGGGGTACCACTTCATTCGCAAAGATCGCCTTATTCCTCCAGTGCCATAACCGCCAACAGGTGACCGCAGAAGTCGTTTCCCACGCCTGTATCCCAGCCGAACTACACACCATCAAATTAGCTCTGAACCACTGTCTCAGTTCCTGGGAGAAAAACTCCCCCCGACGGATTTTCGGGAGTACCGCATCCCACACCCGACGAACTCTTTGGGCGACCGGTGCACTCCAAAATAATTTTAAAATAATTTTAAAATAATTTTACTTTATTCTTTTGTATTTGATATGATAATTTTAATTAAAAAAAATCTAAAATATACAAATATTGAATTTAGGTTAAAGTTTAACTAAATTTAAGTTTTGATTGAATTTATTTTAGGTTGAATTGGTAAACAACCACCCTTAAGTTATTCAATATAATTCGTCGGTGGTCATCGACATTTTTGGACTTGGATATTGTTGGCCTTATCCATCTCTATCTTCGTCTTAGAATCTGAAAATGGGCAGTATAAATGCTATTGGCTCAAAATTTTGGCTTCAAAGTTCTACGTACTTTGTTGTCAGCTCAACTAGACTCAGTTTTATTTAGGGATTGAATGTTCGAATTTAACTACTATTTATGTCAATATTGGCATGTCTGGATTTTGTTTTAGTTATATTTGAGTGTTGCTTGGTTGATCATCGAGAAAGATATCCAAAAGGCTAAAGGAAGCTCACTTTATGGAGAAATAGGATAGGAAGATCTCGACGTAAAGCTGGCACAACTCCGTGAAACTCGGGTCAGGTAGATGAACTATCACCCACCCGAGTGGCTTCCTTGAAGGATTTTGCACTCAGAAGTCATTTGTTCTGAAGTTCGTTTAGTGTGCGCCCGAGTGGCAAGAGAGGCGTGATAAGTGGAATCTCAATGTAATCGACCCAACGAACGAAACGAAGTGAAGTCAAATCTTTAGAGACTCCGTATTAATAAAATTAATTGCTTTCAATTTTCTAGGATAATTTAGTTAACAAATCAAAACTCAATTAGATTTTAGCATAAAAACAATTTTTCATTAATTGACAACATAATCAAATACACTCGTCCATGTCACCAAGTGTCGAAAAATTTTGAATTCAATAGCTGTTCTCATTTAATTGCTTACTCTAAGTCCATAAGAGAAAACACAATCATTTGGGTTCGTTCTATATCCACCATTTTTTACTAAACTATTCTCATTTAAATACACGATTTTTTATTGAACTATTTGCACCTCAGTTCATCAATATGCAAACAAAGACACAAAAATAGCTAAAATATTATCAATTTGGAAAGAAAAATATGATCAATGTGTTAAAATTAAGATAATAGATGATAATTATGATAAGAGCTAAAATTGATGACAATTAAGATAAGGGACGTGTTTAGTTAAATTTTCATTAGTTATATTATCAATATAACTATAATATATAATTTTAGTTCATCATTATTAATTATACAAACAAAGCCACAAACTAAAAAATTGGCTAAACTTTATCAACTTGAAAAAATAAAAAAATAAAAAAATATGATGATTAGGATAAATCCTTAATAAAATGAAATAAGAAAAGAAAAATTTGTGTGACCTTTAATTTCAAGACAAATTTGGTAATAAAAGAGAGATTGATGGAATGCAATAATGTATGGTGGAAAAATTAATTATAGCACTTTTCAAGTCAATTTTGTTTCCAATTTTTTTATTCGAACCTAAATACAAAGCACGATATTATGAAATGTAGCATTCCAAAGCATGCGAGCCTGCCACTTAGGCTTAGCAAGTTTTGAATTATATGGATTACAAAAGCTAAAAGGTATTTTATACAACTTCTAATTTTAGTTTCTTTTTCCCTGCTAAATTCATAAAAGATGTATTAATTATTTTTTACCTAAGTTATTAACCTCCAACTAGCTTAGATTACAACTTATCCTCTGTTATCTACTTCAACTTTTTACTATAAAATGGATATCCAAGAAATTAAACAACAATAATCTATTTATCAACACAATTAATTTATTTTCATCACTCATTAACTCGAACTTACCTCTTCACTCTCACATATAGAGCCTCACATCAAAGTTTTGCCCACAAATCCTCTAAGTTGGGTGTATAAATATACTAACTTCATCTTTTTCAAACACATCAATCACAGCTTGGAAACCTCAACATGGAGAAGAAGATACATGGGATAGTTCTCTTACTCACACTACTCTTGACTCGTAAGCTCGATCGACCTCACAAGTTCATTTCTTGAAATAATTTTCTACTTATTAACTAAGTGATTATCTCTTTACTTTTTGTTCAAATTTCTAACGGTGTTGGGTTGCCTAATGATCAGAATAACGGTTTTTTTATGCACGAATTGGACGCAGATGAAATAATGATACTATGTGAGGCCAGAATGTGTCATTCGAAGAGCAAGAAGTTCAAGGGAATGTGTATAGGGACTAACCGAACGGCAAATTGCAAAACAATGTGCCGGCAAGAAGCTTTTATGACCGGAAAATGCTTCCTTGGAAGTTGTGTGTGTCAAAAGAAATGTGGCACACCGAGCGGCCAACCATCAAATCCGCCAACAAAACCAAATCCGCCACCACCACAGGGGGCTAAGGGAGCTGATGATGCAGGCAGTGGGACGAGGAAGGTGGAGCGTGAGCGATTTGTGGACGTTACTTCTAAGATGAATTAATAAATAAAATTTTATAACATAGTGTTTCTAGGAGTTTTTTATGGCAATCTATACGTTGGGAGGAAGAGATTGGATAAGTTTTTTTTTTTTTTTTTTTTTTTTT